AAACACTCACTGACTTAGTGGTTTTCATGCATTAACTCATAAATCTTTCCAGTGCTTATTGAGGTGGCCGTTGTTATCCCTATCTTCCAGTCAGGAAACTGGGATACAAAGAGGTGAATTGAGGCGCCTAAAAAGGGGGTAAAGCCAGGGTTCCGCTTTTGCCTACTAGTGAGCTCTACCTCACATAGAATCTTCTGCTCTAGTACGCATATGGCACATTCCCATCTCAGGAATGAGACGAATGGAGCCTGGCCCCGGCTTCACACCATTCCTTCCTCCTCCCTGTTTGGCTAATTCACAGCCATCCTGAGGGTCCAGCTCAAGCCTCACCTCTGGAAAGCACGGTCCCAGTTGACCTTCATGGGGCTCCCTCCCCTCTCTGGTCCACTGTAGCATTGGTTCACGCTCAGAAGCCTGTTGGTGCAAAGGCCCAGGAGTGTGTTAGAGTTCGGGCGAGTTCCTGGATAGAGCATGGAGGCAGAGGCCGGGGAGGGTGATGGGGAGGGCCCTGCAAATGATGGTTTTGTCTACACTTATGCTAGGGTAATGAGAAATATGGAAGGGCTGCTGATGGGGCTCGATCAGATCGTGATAAAGGTCCCTGCACCTTGGGATTCACTGGGGTCAAATCTAAGGCTGGGTGAATGGAAAAGAGGCTGCTGCCGATGCCAGGTGGTGACTTAGACTCAGGAGGGAGAAAGATGGTTGGGAGAGACTCGGGGACTGCTTGCAAATGCAGGGTGTGAACTCCGATGTCAGACTTAAAGGGCAGCATTTTTTATGCATTTTTTAAAAATAGACTATTATTGTTTTGAAAACACTTTAAGGCAGCTTTCGGCTTACAGAAAATTAAATGGAAAGTATAGAGAGTTCTCAGATATAGCCCTTTTTCCCCCTTCTTGCCGCCGCCCTCCCCCCCACCCCCAGTTTCCCTTATTATTAGCATCTTGCCTGTGGGGGGGCATTTGTTATCATTTATAAGCCAATATTAGTATATCATTATTGACTGAAGTTCATAGGTTATCTTAGGGCTCACTCTTTGTGCTGTGCTGTTCTATGCGTTTTGGCATATACATAACATCCTAGATCCATCATTATTACTCTATTAGAAGAGTTTCACGGCCCTAAAAGTCCTCTGCTCTCCACCTATTCCTCGCTCCCTTTCTCTAAACCCCTGGCAACCACTGATCCATTTACTCTAGAGTTTAGCCTTTATCAGAATGACCTATACCTGGAATCATGTCATATACAGCCTTTTCAGGCTGGCTTCTTTCACTTAGTATGATATACATTTAAGGTTCCTCCATGTCTTTTCAGGGCTTGATCGTTTCTTTCTATTGCTGAATAACACCACAGGCTATGAGTGTATCATGAATCATTTATGCATTTACCTACTGAAGGACGTCTTAGTTACTTCCAAGCTTTGGCAGGTTTTTGTGTGAACATAAGTTTCCAGCTCCTTTGGGTGAATACCAACGAGTGTGACTGCTGGATCATATGGTAGTTTTTGTAAGATGCCACCCAACTGACTTCCTACATGGCTGTGCCATTTTGCATTCCCACCGCCATGAAGGAGAGTTCCCGTTGCTCCACGTCCTAAGCAGCATTTGGTATTGTCAGTGTTCTGGATTTGGGCCATTCTTACAGGTGTATAGCAGTATCTTATTCTTTTTTTTAAGTTTTATTTGTTTAAATCATCTCTACACTCAACGTAAGGGTTGAACTCACAACCCCGAGATCAAGAGTTGCATGCTCTGACTGAGCCAGGCAGGGGCCCCAGTATCTTATTGTTTGAATTTATAATTCCTGTGATGACCCACGATGCTGAATGTCTTTCATACACTCATTAGTCACCTTGATTTCTTCCTTGGTGAGGTGTCTGTTCTGATCTCTTGACCTCATTTTAACTGTGTTGTTGGTTTTCTTTTTTTCTTTTTTAATGTTTTATTTATTTCTAAGAGAGAGAGACAGACAGACAGTGTGAGCAGGGGAGGGTCACAGAGAGAGGGAGACACAGAATCTGAAACCAGGATCTGAGCTAGCTGTCAGCACAGAGCCCGATGCAAGGCTCCAACCCACGAATCGTGAGATCATGACCTGAGCGGAGGTCTGACGCTCAACCAATTGAGCCACCCAGGTGCCCCTGTGTTGTTTGTTGTCTAATTGTCAAATTTTAAGAGTTCTGTAGATGCATTTTTAAGAATTTTTCACTTAGGGTGGGCCTTCTCTTTTCCCTTCCCAAGTCTCCCCCGTTCTGCTCGCTCCCAATTCTCACTTGTGATCTTTCTTCCTGCAGATAGACAACTTAGCATCCTAGAAGTAGGCTCCTTGCCTACCAGCAGAGGAAAGGATGCTGCTTGTGCAGCTCCGACAGGGAAATAAAGTACATATTCTGAACAGCTGGTTAAAAGCCTAAGCTTGATAAAGACACATACACACTTTCAAATGTAGATTTACATACAAAATGGTAAGTGCGAATGCTGGATTGTGTATTTTTGTAGTCAAGCGACTGAGAGAAAAATGTACAGGTCACAGACTAATCACCTGAATTGTTTTAAGCATATTCTTTGGCCACTGAAGTGGAGTGCAGGGGTCTGATTTAAGGAGTAAAGTACTTTAGGGATAAAACCTGGAATGGTAAGGTGAAGGAAACTCTTGAAGAGCTTTTTATTTTATAGTGATGGGGAGCCATTGGGGGTTTTTGAGCAGGAGGGAAAAAGGATCAGGCTGGCCTTCCATAGCCTATGTCGATTACACAGTGATTATGTCATTGAATTGACAACAGGGTTAAAAAAAATTGGAGCCTACGTGCTCCATCTTAGGAATTCTCCAACCTTCCCTTTCCTTCCTTTAAGTTGGAGTTAACTCTAGCCTCAGAACGGATAAAAGGATTATATGAGATAGTATGTAAAGTAAGTACCACGATCTCCTTTGATTCTTTTGTTTGCTTATTTTTGAAAGAGAGACAGAGTGTGTGTGGGGGAGGGACAGAGTGAGAGGGAGACACAGAATCCGAAGCAGGCTCCAGGTTCCAAGCTGTCAGCACAAAGCCCGACCCGGGGCTTGAACCTACAAACCATGAGATCATGACCTGAGCTGAAGTCATACACTTAACTGACTGAGCCACCAAGGCGCCCTCTCCTTTGATTCTTAAAAGCCCCCTCCTTCATAAATCTCCCATGACTCACTGAATTATCTTATTTCATTTAATTCCCATACCTCCTTGGAACCTTGGGGCGTGGAGGATTAGCACTCAGAGCTGCTTCATCGGGCTCTCACCTCCAGGTTTTTCTCATTTGGTGTCTCATCGATGACAAACATGATAATAATCTTCACGACAGGCCAGGCAGTTTGTTGAGTGCTGGGCATGCATCATCTCACTTCAAATCCCACAAAAGTATTAATATTCCCACTTAGGTGATAAGAACATTGAGATTCACACGGTGTACTTTGCCCAAGGTCACCCAGCAATTAAATGAGGCAAGGCTTGTATTCAAACCCTGGCACCTATGCTCCGAGTCATTAACTCTGCAACATGCCTTTTTTGCGAGGTGGGCTTCCTCAGCAGCCTTCGGAGCACTTTGCCCAACTGCTCTTGGAGTATTAGCAGCAGAGCACTGGAATCAGGCTTATCAGTCAGTCTCTCCCACCAGACTGTGTCTCTGAGGGCCAAGACCTTGTCCCTGTCACCTGTGTCTGCCCAGCACCTTGCACTGTGCTTGGCACACACAGGGGTCTTAATCCGTTCTTCCTGCAAATGCTTATGCAGTGCTTGCTATGAACTATGCGGTATGCTGGTGTCAGGGAAGTAGCCTTTGCCAACACAGACCAATTAAGGCACCAATAAAGAAAGATTATAATTTTAACGTTGGGTAAACATTATCGTAGTTACATATGCGTCAGGTAGAAGTGACTTCAAAGTCTGGACAGCGTTTCACACAAATGCATAGAGAGAAGCAAAGAGAACAATGAAAACTTGCTCAACAACAAGAGTATGCACCTTGTGACTGACCCTTGTATTTCTGGTGAGCAAGAAATTTGCCTTGAGCTACTTCCCTAGGTAATGTGTACGGCGCCAAGGGTCAGAAGGCCCCCAAACTGGCACTGCAGTAGAGATGACGCCTTCTGTCGGGTTTATTAAAGTCTCCGCGGGGCGCCTGGGTGGCTTGGTTAAGCGTCCGACTTTCGCTTAGGTCATGATCTCGAGGTTCGTGGGTTCGAGCCCCGCGTCGGGCTCTGTGCTGACTGCCAGCGTAGAGCCTGGAGCCTGTTTCAGAGTCTGTGGCTCCCTCTCTCTCTGACCCTCCCCTGCTCACGCTGTCTCTCTCTCCTAGAAAAAAAAAAAAAAAGTCTCCGGGTAACACCTCACAGAGGGAGGGGTAGGTAGGCAGTTGCATCCCTCCTCGGAGAAAACTGCATTCTTGCAACCTTGCACTAGTCATTGGGGTTGCCGGGTTACAGACTAGGACTTGCTCCCTCCGGGAGAACGTCAGACCGTGGGCAGAAGAAGGGCATTCCTGGCGGTAGGAAAAGCTTCCTCTACGAAGTGTTCTTGAGCTGGAATTTTGAAACGTTAATAAAGGTTTAAAGAACGAACGAATGACCATCGAGCTGGCGGTTGCCAAGAAGCTAAGGAAAGTATCTGGCGTCCGGATCGTTAACGAAACGGAGGACAGGGAAAAGAGACATGTAGGGCTGTCGGAGAATCGCGCTTTCACAGCCCGCAAGCTGAGAGTGATACCAGCCACACTTTCCACCGCCTGGGGCGAGAGAAGCCAAGGAGGGGCGGGGCGGCGGCTCCGGGGGCGGGGCCCCGCGGGGGCGGGGCTACGGAAGCCGAGCGGGCTCGGAGGCGTTCGGCGGAGGACTTGTGCGCAGGCTCGCGGCGCTGGGCGGGCTCGGGCCCACCCACGCTGACCCTCCAGGGCTCCCCGCCGCTGTTGGCACCGGTACCCTCCGCCGCCGCAGCTCCCCGGGCGGAGACGCAACTCCTGAGTCACTCGGCGGCTTCTGTTGGGTCGGCGCCGTGACGGTTCACTGCGGTGTGTCGTCGGCGCCGCCAGGCTCGTAGCGCGCCTGCCCTCCCGGCCGCCCGCCCGGCCGCGCTCCCGCTCGTGTCCCCCGGCGGGTCCGGGAGATCCGGGCACCGCTTCGACGGCGGCTTCGCCGGACCCGCGGCCCGGGTCGCAGCCCGCACGCCGAGCGGACGGCGTCATGAGGCACCTGCCATACTTCTGTCGCGGCCAGGTGGTGCGGGGCTTCGGGCGAGGCTCCAAGCAGCTGGGCATCCCCACAGGTGAGCGCGGAAGGTCGTGCCCCCACCCCCCCACAGCACCCCTCCGACTCCCGGGGTTGGGTCAAGCGGGAGCGGGGACGTCAGACGGGGAACCTGGGGCCGAGGGCCGAGGTGACGCCCTCCCCTCCGCTCGGTTCCTGGTTTGTCGAGGCGGGTTGAGGAAACTCGTCTTTGTCCCCGGCTCCGAGCTCACCGAGGACCGGGCTTGCGGGGCGGTGGCGGCAGAAAGCCCAGCTGAGTTCCGGGACCCCTCTTTCCCGCCCCCCTATCCAGCCAAGCTAGAGCCGCCAGGCCTGGCACGCGTCGTCCCGGCTAGAAAGAAAACGTAATGTGAGCCAGTCTTCTTCAGTATCCAAGCCGACCGTAAGGGTTTTTTTGTTCTCTTGAAATGACTTGTTAGTAATGGGATGACAGATATCTTTTATGGTCTGTTGACGTTCGTTTCAGTAGCCAGGACCTGATGATGCGTATTTCTTCCTTAAAAACACACACCGGGGTTACCCCTGGTCTTTGAGCTTTGGGACAGAGGCACAAATATTTTGAAAATAAGAATCGTTAAAAGAGATTCCTGACCTCCTTAAGAAAGACGAGGCCTGGGAAAAACCACCACCACCCAGCTGTTCACCTGTTTTCTTCTACATCAAGAGTGTGTGGTTTTTTTGAAGAGCTTTGTACACTTAATTGTTCTTAACCTATTCACGTGAAGGCGAGAAAGAAAAGCCTGAGCCAGACGATAGAAGGGAGGGATTGATAATCATAGGCAGGGGGCTGGGACTCTTGAGAGCATAAGTGATTTAGACCAGGCTTCCTGGCATGCGGTTTTTGTAACTGTTTACCATGACACTGTTAACCCTCCTAATACTTGTTTCTGTTATTTAGCTAACTTTCCGGAACAAGTAGTTGACAGCCTTCCAGCTGATGTGTCCACTGGCATTTATTACGGTTGGGCCAGTGTTGGAAGTGGAGATGTCCATAAGATGGTGGTGAGCATAGGATGGAACCCGTACTACAAAAATACGAAAAAGTCCATGGTAAGAGTTATGAAAATGGAGTAGTGATTTAAGGTGCTGTTCAGTAGTGGATGCATGCAGAACTCGTCAGTGGTGCTCACACGACCTAGTCCAAATTACTAGGATTCCTGGCAGTTTACTTACTTAAAGGATTTTCAGGTGTTTCCTTACTGTTTGAATGGAAGAGCTTGTTCAGTGTATTTGTGTCTTTGGGCTCTAAAGGGAGTCTCTTACAGAGCACGGTCTCTTGTAAAAGGTGGGTATAATTGGATTGTCCTTTCTAATCAATCTCTGCCTTTTCATTGGAGAGTTTAGTCCTTTTACATGTAAGCTAATGACTGATGAGGAGGGACTTGTGCTAGTTTGCTGTTTTCTATATGCCTTACACCTTTTTTGTTTGTTATTTCGTCCACTATTGCCTTTTGTATTTTAACGTTTTGTTTTGTAGTGACAAATTTTGATCCCCTTATTTCCTTTTGTGTACTTGACATAAATATTTTGTTTGTGGTTACTGTGAGGATTGTATTTAACATCCGAAAGTTATAAATTCTGGCGCACTTATCTTTTAAGACTTGTAGAAAATAAAAAAGTGGAGTTTCAAGCCAAAAATCACAGTATTAATTTTTATAGCTGCCCGTGGGTTAACTCTCACTGGCAATAAAAGTGAATTACTTACGGGACACCACGGGGCTCAGTCGGTTAAGGTTAAGCATCCAGACTTCGCTTCAGGTCAAGGTCTGATGGTTTGTGAGTTCAGCCCCGTGTCGGGCTCTGTGCTGCCAGCTCAGAGCCTGGAGCCTGCTTCCGATTCTGTGTCCCTCTCTCTCTGCCCCTCCCCTGCTCCTGTTCTGTTCTCTCTGTCTCTCAAAAATAAACATTAAAAAGTGAGAGCATGTTTTATAAAATTGAGCTCGCCACATTTAATACAGTTCATTCACTTTTGAATTACGTGCTCATCCTGCTAAGCTGGGACTGCTTACTACACAAATGGTGTTTTCTGATAAAATTGAAAGGTGATGCTTTTTTTTTTCTCTCGTCTTAAACTACCTTGAGGGCGTACCCTTCTGCTCTTTTCACAATACCCCTACCCCTTAAGAGCTTAATCTGCGAGATAGGGGTGAGTCTTGGTCAGCTCAGGTGCATGGCAGAAACAGAGTTGGTATAAATTTCATCCTCCTTGAAGAGTTTATAGAAGTGTGTCACAGTTGGAAAACCACAGGACTAAGTGCTGGTAAAAACAGTAGAAATGGCCTAGAAGTGCTTAACATTGTGCTCAACATTTGTGGCATAACATCATCCTTACTCAGTCACAGTGTTTACATGTAAGGTCGAGACAGAAACAGGACTGATGGAAAAATTCAGGGAAAAAAAACTGCACTTAGATTTTAACCTGTCGTTAAACATTTAGTAAGAGTTCATCACCCCCACCGTAACTGTGAAGACAATATTTCAAGTTTCAGGTATTCTGTGATCAGATGGTAATCTTTTCAACATTTCTTAACTCTAGGAAACTCATATCATGCACACCTTCAAAGAGGACTTCTATGGGGAAATCCTCAACGTGGCCATCGTCGGCTACCTCAGACCTGAAAAGAACTTTGATTCTTTAGGTGAGTTCCAATTATGTCTTCTTAGGTATTAGTGCAGCTACTTCTAATGTTTCTCGTAGTAACAAAGTGGCAGGAGAGATGGCATTTGAGCATTGAGTATGTGCCAGGCGCTGTGAGTGCCTGCCCTTCATGAATGGAGTCACTTCTCCCCACCATAATATATGAGGAATTACTTTGCCCAGTTCACAGATGAGGAGGTCGGCAGAGAGGGGTTAAGTAGTTTGCCCAGGATCCACAAGTATGTGATGGAGCCTAGATGCAAACCCAGTGCGCTGGCTGCTTCTGTCCCAACAGTAGGAAGTGTTTGTTTTCTTTTCCTGTTTCAGGGAACAAGAGAGGGTGCTGTCATGCATAATGGGTGCTTTGCAGAGCTTGAAGTGTAACAAACTAAGGCAGTATTTGAAACGGAATGGCATCAGCACGTTAGCGTAGTGTGGTGGTTTTAATTCCGTAGCAGAGTTTCTGTTACAAATGTAAATACTGAAGAGGCTTGATCCTCGGCATTTCTTCCATTTGGTACTTGTGACATACCCTTTGGCTAATGCCTTTCTCTGAGAAATTGCAAGGAGATGAGGAACATCTTTTGTGTGCCATTGACCTTGACTTTAGTCTGGAAGAAGGGACGGAACAAACATTTACTGGGTGTCACCCCTGTGCTAGAGACGCCGCAGGCCTGTGAGCTTCTAGCAGAGTCTGAACCAAGGAGCAGAGAGAGGGTTGTGGCGGTTTTTCATGATTTTCATTGTCTGCCTGCTGTGTTCTCTCTGCAGAGTCCCTCATTTCGGCAATTCAAGGCGACATTGAGGAAGCCAAGAAACGACTAGATTTACCAGAACATTTGAAATTCAAAGAAGATACTTTCTTCCAGGTTCCTAAAAGCAAAATGATGAATGGCCACTGATGAAAAGTCACCTTACTCTTATTTATTCGTTCACTGTTTTCTAGAATTTTACTCTTCACAACTCCTCAGTCGTTAGATTTTAACAATCAAATGTTTTCCTACAGCTGTGAATTAAACAGTGCAGTGTATTTACCCCATTATGCTTCAGCTGTTCACATCCAGCGCATCATGCTATAGTACTAAAATGATTCATTTTAAAAATCAAGCTGCTTTTTTATGTGATATGTCCATTGAAATGTACCTCTAGAAAGGTGGTCAGGGTCTTATAATGAGAATGAACTGTATATAAGTGTGGGTAAGAAGGCAACTCACTAGTTTTGAGATGTGGACCATAATTCTCATGGTAAGCAGTAGCATGTATGTGCCTACATAGGGCGTGCTGCTAACTAGTGAAGGTGTATAAATAAATGTATTCACCAGAGCTCTGAGAGCTTATTACGAACCTACGAGGAAAAATCCAGACTTTATATTTTTGATATTTGGTATATTAATATATTACAAATAGTAGATATGTGGGATTTCACTGTAGTTAGTCATTTCCTCTGTGAGGTCAAATCATTGTACTGTGTTCCATTGTTGTTACAGCTGCCTCAGCCCCGATTGGTCTAGACTCCCTCTTCCTATCCATTGTCCCCAAAAGCAGTAAACTTAGTCTTTTTCTAACTCTAGATGGCGTCTGTGTTGTATAACATTTGTCCTTTTTAGGGTCGATGTTCAGCATTTTTCTTGACTTTGCTTCTGTTTTCCTTGAAGCAGTTGTCAGTGTCAGGGTTTGTTTTGTTTTTGTTTTTTTCTCCTTCTATTACATGTAAAATAACCTACAGCTGCACGCTTGGACAAAAGATGGCATCCGTATCTACCATTCCGTCCCTTCGCCCTATGAACAGTGACTACGGCAAAGCTGTATTGCATTTTAGGGGGAAAAAAAAGCCCAGCCCTTCATCTCTAGGTTTCCTCACGTTTAAGGTGAGCACACAGTGGATGATTTTTATCTACCAGTTTTTTGAAGAGCACAAACATTTGTTTTCCCCCTGGGGAAACCATTTAAGAGCCAATTAAATTATGAAATAGTTATTTATTTTTAATGTAATTACATATTCCTGAGCAAACATAAACTGTCATAGCTGTGGACGCATAAGGTAATTTAATGCTAAACAGTGCTTGTTGCTTGGGGAAAAGGCATACGTAATAAAGTTTTAGTTAAGTAATAATCTTCCTGTGATGCATTTTTTCGTCTTCCTCCTGTCTAAGAAGCAGTTTTTGGCTACTTGGGAGGCGTATTTATACTGGTGGAGAATTGAAGTCTGTGGATATTTAGGGAACGGAGACTACAGCTTGTTGGGGCCCCCTGAACACATTGGGCTATGGTTCACTTATGCACCGGTTTTGGTGTGGGGAAGGGAGCGGAATGATAGAGAAGGTCATTTTTAAAGTAATTCCTCATAAGGCATTGTCTCTAATCTGCATAGAGAATTGATTTTAACAAACATCTAAAGTAGAAAAATCCCTAAAGCATCTGGAGAAGGGAAACATGGGTAAATTTAGTTGGACTGTGTTTTTCTGTTTGGCATATGAACTTTGGGCAGATAATGTAATGTTTGTCTTCCTTCCTTCATGAAAATACTTAGGAAATGTAATTCAGTGCTGAAACGCTTGAAAGAAGCTTCAATTATTAGTGGCTTTATAAAGCAGAGAGAAAAACTGGCATGGGAAGTGTAAAACCAGATTTGTATGTGTTTGCCTAGCCTGCTGCTAATCATGTCCTCGCTAAGCGTGTGAGACGTCTCTGCTCTGGTCACCCTACGATTTGGGAATTGTACATTGTGAGTTGCAGGAGATAATGGCATCCACACTTGTTAAAGATTTACATGGACTACGTATGATGAGAAATTGCAGTAGTACCGTTCTCGATGAATCTGAATGACTTCAGGCCTTGAAATAAATCTCGACCAGGTGATGTCTCTTTCCCTGTGTCCCTTTGCACCTTTCGCCTCGTGTGTGTACCCGCGTCCCTCCTTTGTTGGCTGGCGGCTCCTTGGTGGCGGGTTGGGGACTCGCGTGGCGGTGGCAGGCGGCATCTGGAAGGGGGAGCCGGCACGCAGTGGTAGTTCTAGAACCTACTAGCTGTAGAGTCCCCAGAAGCCTACTTTCTGAGGGTGAAGGTCCCCATGATATTTTAGAGTCACAAGAGCCAGGGGAGTACAAGTAGGTGTGAGTTCCCTCCCCTAACTCTCGCTCCAGAACAGCATCCCGTGGCCCCCATGACTCGCTGTCCCTTGGACCTCTGGCCCATATCCAGTGCACGCAGGGACGTGCGGGGGTTCTTGCCACGCTGACCTCCTGTGCTCTCAACAACAGGGGTTTAAGCGTTCGTAGTTAAGACTCCTATGTGACAGTTGTGGTCAGGGAGACGGAAGTGGGACATTTACTTAGAATTTATGAGGACAGTGTTGCTTGGCCTGGTAGAAGTGCTCGCCTTTTCCTGTTCCCCTCTAACTTGGAAGCTGGTCGTGAGGCTGATAGGGGAGATCCAATCTGACCTCCAGAGGGTGAGCTGGGCGGGCGCCTGGGTGGCTCAGTCGGTTAAGCATCTGACTTCGGCTCAGGTCATGATCTCACGGTCTGTGAGTTTGAGTCCTGCGTCGGGCTCTGTGCCGACAGCTGGGAGCCTGGAGCCTGCTTCAGATTCTGTGTCTCCCCCTCTCTCTGCCCCTCCCGAGCTCATGCTCTGTCTCTCAGTAATAAATAAAAACATTAAAAAAGAAAAAAAAGAGACTGAGCTGGGAAATAAATCTATCCTTTAAAGTGACGCTATCCTAAACAAGAGTTAGCACAAAGAAATTACAGAACAGGCCCTACAAATTGGATGACAGGTCCAGGGATTACCAGGGTTGGACATGGCTTTAATGTGTGGAGAGGAGTGTTAGAAATGGTAAAATAAGGTTCTACAAAAATTGGGCAGTGGGGAGGTAGGCAGGGGCATGGGAGGAATAGATAAAGGAGACTGAGAGGTACAGACGTTCAGTCGCACAGTAAGTCACAGGGAAGAAAAGTGCAGCACGGGGACCATAATGAAGGTAGTAACGAATGGTGACAGATGGTGACGACAGTTACCGTGGCGAGTACTAGTAACATCTTGAGTTGTTGAATTGGTATGTTGTACGCCTGTGTGGTTATTTTATTTCAATAAAAAGTCAATTATAGCTTTATTAGAGTATAATTGACATAAGTTGCACCTACTTAAATTGTATGGCTTGGTGGGTTTTGATATATGGATACACACCTGTGAAATCCAAACCAAAATCAGGGTCATAAATATCATTCCCTGCCCCCCCCCCCACCCCGTTGGGGGAGGATGAGCATGGACTGAAAGTGGTATTCACATCTTCACCTCCGGGGTGTCCAGGTGAATTTAAATGTCAGTGTTTCTGTTGGAGGTGTAGACGGTCACAGGATGCCAGCACTGGGTAGGGACGTCTTGACAGCCAGTGTGTTAGCAGGGGGCACCTTTGTGGGGAGGGAGCCGAGCTGTCAGGAATGGGATTGCTCTTGTGAAAGGTGACCCCGGAGAACACTCTCTTGCTCTTTCTGCCATGTGAGGACACTCTGAGAAGTGGGCAGGCTGCAGCCAAGGGGAGGCATCTCACCAGAACTTGACCAATGCTGGCTTGGACTTCTAGGCTCCAGAGAACTGTGAGAATTACATTTCTGTCCCCTAAAAATCACCCAGTCTGTGGTATTTTCTTGTAGTGTCCTGAACCAACTTAGAGGAACCCTGATGTGAAGCTTAGAATAGATGGCGTCTTCCTTCCCTGCTCTCTCTCCCTCCCCTTCCCTCTCCTCTTCCTCTGGCGCCCCCTCTCTTCTTTTTCTCTCTAATGGAAACAGATGTGAGCCATTGGATTGGGAGTGAAGAAGGTACAAAGGCGTCGTCTATAAATATTTTATATTTATAAATTGCCTGCCTCTATCGAATTTCGTAAGATCCGTGCTCTAAACCATGACTAGCTCCCTGGGTCACCCAAGACGCGGGAGAAGCAGGGCTGCCGGAGGGGGTGGGAGAGGGGTGGGTGCCAGTCCCTGTATAGCCTTGAGCCTTCAGTTTTGCTGTCTGGAGCAGCGCCTCATCTTAGGAAGCACTTAGCTTGTCAGCAAGCCTGGCCAAAAGGCAGATAAGAGAAGTCAAAACTACCCATGAATGCTGCTTAGCTTTAAATTGCAAACGCCTGGGTTTTTTGTTTCTTTTTTTAATTTTTAAGTTTATTTACTTTGGAGAGAGTGAGCAGGGGAGGGGCAGAGAGGGAGACAAAGAATCCAAAGCAGGCTCAGGGGGCTTGAACACAGACTTAGATTATGACTGAGCTAAAATCAGATGCTTAATTGACTGAGCCACCCAGGTGCCCCAGGGTGTTTGGGAAGCTCAAACATGAAATTTAATCCTTTCACATCTCTTTGCATGTCGGCCAGGGCCTCATTCTGGGACTGTAGAGCCCTTGGTTGGGTTTGAACAGGCAAGGGTAACTCAGCAAGTAAAAGAATCTGACTATTCTCTCTCATGCTCTTGTCCAGTGAGTCCAAGAGTTGGATTCTCTTAAGTTGAATCCCAGTATTATGTCACCACACTGTGTTATCTTCTATAGTTCCCACAGCAGACCTAAGCCTCCGATGTTCCCTTTTCGCTTAGGAATCTAACTGGTTGCAAGTAACAGAAATGCACTTGGCCTGGTTTAAGCAGGAAATGAACCTCCTTGGAAGAATGATGGGGAACTCAGAGGTTGGATGGGAAAGCTGGAGGCTGGGTAAGAACAGAGGACCCCAGAACCAGAGCTGGAATCACGCAGAGCTGGCTCACCGGGAACTGCGCCACCGCTGCTTGGGCGAGCATGCCCCCGCGGGGCCCTGTTGCCCCGGAAACTAATCTTTCTATGATTAATATCTGATTGGCCGAGCTTTGGTCACGTGCCCGTGTGTTAGCTGCAAGGGATGGGTTGGAAAACTGAGCACCTCTTTTGGCTTCTGGAGAGAGAGAGAGACACTTATCCACCAAGGCCCATACAGTGGGAAGTAAGTTCTGTAAACACGATAAGGGGGAGTCTGAAAATGAACAGTAAGGAAATAAATGACAAACCTCTGCTCTCATCATCTAAAGAAAAAAAGTCTATAACCCATAGCGTTTCCTTTTTTACCTTGATTTGCAGGAAGCTCAGGGCTCATGTTCGACGCCAGTAGTGATAATCCTATAGAAACCTGATTTTCAGAGTGTTCTTGGAAGAGCCTAAGAGCCTCATGGAGGCGTACCTGGGCTGGATCTCCGCCCTGCCCTGCTTACTTCAAGGTAGCACCCCCTCACTGTTTAGTGTCTGTATGTTCTCCTGAAGACTTGGTGAAAGACCTCCACTGCTAAGGAATATTTAAACGTCTGCTTGGGTGGATTAGCCCACTTGGCAGGCTCTCTCAAGGCTCCCATTCTCTTTCCAAGGCAACGATCTCGTTTTCTGCACATGAGAGAAGGCACCAGTATGCCCTTCTCTGCAAGCAGGTGGATCTAAATCCTCAGAGAGTCACTCCCTCCGGGGCATTGAGAAAGTTCCCTGGTGTGGGTTCTGCCTGGGTCCCTGTAAACAAATACCTGCTGCTAACTCTGAGTCACTCACAGGAAGTCCATGTTCATCTCGGGGCCCCTTTAGGCCTCTGAGAATTCAGAACATTTTCTCCGGCCGCCCAGGGTGCTGTTTCACATGTGGATTTGCTGGAATTTCAAGTTTCTTAAAGGCTCTCCAGCCAGTACAGAATTTCTGTCAAATGAGGCTTTTTGTTTTGTCTTCAAATCTCTTCTGAACCCAACAAAACCTAATAATTAATGTTCTGAGATTTCCACCATAGTTCAAGACTAGGACTTCCCCTGGCCCATAGCCTGACCAGCTGGACCTGTTCTCTTCTGTTTCCCATAGACTTAGTTCGAATACTTCTCATGGGGTGTTAGGGAAGATGGAAGTGTTCCCTTGGGTTTTGTGCCCTTGAATGTTTGTTTCCATTCCTTTTTACAGTCTTGCCAAAAGATGGATAATAGGAAAGGTCGGTTACTGCCACAGCTTAACTACATTGAGGATATCGTGTTTTTTTGTAAGAACACAGTTTTAAGGGTAAAACCTGGAGAACTAGGTACACACTGAATATTCAGAAGAAGAGTAGGGTCCCTGTGTTTCACTGG